ATAGTGTGTAGCTCCCTTGTGAGGTGTGTCTCCTGGGTCGCTGCTCTTGCTGCTCAGGATCGCTCTTCCCTCCTTTTCTTCCAGCTTTCCCATTATCCCTTCCCCTCTTGTTCGTTTCTCCCAGTCCTCTCTCCTTCCTTCTCCGTTGAAGCACTTTTGTGCTGTTCCATTCTTTCTGCCACTGGAAAAACTGTTCCTATACTGTTAAGGCTGTGAATCGGATTTCTAGAGCATTAATTAAGTTTTTGCCATCTATGGTTCTGTTTTACTCAGACTAGTGGTCTTGCAGGTGTTTGGTTAAGAGGCTGAAGGGCCAAGTCAGAGCCTTTTCTGAGCTAAGGGCCACCTTTCCACTGGTTTCAGTTTTAAAGGATTTGTGCTTAGACTGAGCCAATAAAGCCTGCTCCTATGGGGAAAAATGGCAGCACAGTTTATTCCCTTTCATTTTTCCTATCTTGACTTTTTAGGAGTTGAAGTAGGAGATAGGACCACCGAGCAAGAAATCCATCCCCTAAGTAGAGGAAGGCAGTCGGATTTGTCCGAGTGCATTTCAGCCCTCGCAGCATTTGGCCGCAAGAAGAGGCCTCTAAAAATAACTGGTGAGCAGAGTGCGCAGGCAGGTCCAGTTTCAGCTCGGTGGCCCTGGCTGGCAGTTGGCAGCGCGCGCTGGAGGGAAGGGTGCGCCTTGCGCCCCGTGCCTACTGTGCCTGTGTTGAGGTTTTTCTCTTTAATGTATACATTATTCATGGATTGAAGAAACCAAAATGACTGAAGATAAAGGTATCATTTCTGTACTTCGGGTTAACAGGGGCTTTGGGCCCAGATGATGCATTTTTGGTTTATTTTCAGTTGAGTTCTGTTTGAGTATTTTTGACAAAGTGCTTTCATTGAATATTTTGCATTTTCTATTTTGAACTCCTGGAAGCATTAATTTTCATAATAGTTGCATTTTCTGTAGAACAGCTTGCCATAAAACTAAGTTTGTGTATGCCTTAATTTAGATTATCTTTTAATGTAGTCTACTGTCAGAAAACTGCATTTTACAAATTTTAGAATATATACAACCAGTCTTTTTTGTGTTATAAGTTAATTGTCATGCATTTAAAGAATTATGTGCATTCAGATTCCATATAAAATGATAGGAAACGTAAGAGATGTGTGTATTAATGAGGAATTTATTGGTTCAAGTAAGGACTTACCATGTATATAAACTGACCTACTTGCTTTTGAAATAGATTTTAAAAATCAGAATCAAATTTTACTGTCTGTTTAAAATCAAATATTTTTCTTTCTAATTTTCATCAATGACGTCCTTAATTTGCTTTTTGTACCTATCCACTTTTGCTCTACTTTGTGTAAAGTTTGTTTATTTAAAGCATATTGCATTGGCTTGTTATGTTGAAAATATGAACAAAAGATAAATGCTCAAAGATTGCTTCCAACTCTCAGCTGTCACAGCAGCAACTGAAAGAATTCTACTATTAAGATAAGTATGGAGTATCTCCACTTTGAAGATTGTTTCGAATAATTGGTTCGAATGGATTGCTTGTGAAGTATGTCATTCTTCATGAAGAGCACGCGCATGCATGTGCGCACACACACGCACACGACTGGGTGTGGTGGCTCATTCCCTATATAGTCCCAGCACTCAGAAGGCTGAGCCAGGCAGATTGCTGTGAGTTGAAGGCCAGCCTGAACTACAGTCATACCCTCTCTCAAAACACTGTGTATACATGAACATGAGAGAGCTATATGTGACTTTTAGTTCTTTTACAAGATATATCGCTCCTCCTCATTGAATTTTGCAGTTCTTAGATGAAACCAACTTTTAGTGATGCCCTGTTTTTAATAGTTGCACATTATCAAGAGGTGACATTTCATACCATGAAAAATAGCATTTAATGAGTTATTTGACAGTTTTTATGCTT